GTCAATTTCCAATATTTTATGATCTCTCAATGTCATTAACCAATAATATTACACACACATTCATTATAAGAAAACACAGTATTTTGGAAACTGACTGAATTGAACAATAATATACATAGCAGAAAATATTTAATACTGCCAAGTATTAATTGATTTTTAAATCATTCATAAAATATATCTGAAAACATCATATGCATCTCATCTAATAAATCATTATTCAATCATTTAAGATTTGATAAAGGGTTAGAATAAGGAAAGATGTGTTGAAATGGAAACATCAACATAGTAATGAATGATGGCCATTTTTCACACAATAAGGTTTTTATTGTTAAAAATTCAGATAATTTTTTAATTTAAATAGCTCAAAAAACTGATTGAGATGACAAGTACAGATTGGAGTAAGTTGCTATGTTTATTTATTTATTAATAAATATATCTTCAAAATACAATTTTTGCCAAAAACTCACACAACAAAATAAAATCATCCTTTGACGATATGACGAAAGCTTTTTTTTTTATTGACACTGGAGTAGTAAAAATAAAATTCTGAATAATGTTGGCAAGAATCGTTTTAAAAAAAAAGAAGTAAAAGTGGCCTTGAGTCTATTATATAGACACCACTTATAACTGTGACAACTTGCTGCAGTGCTCTTAGACTAATATTTTAGGATTTGTTGCTAAACTAATTTTATTGTTTTTTTGTTATGGTGATCACAATAATCAGTGGGAGATTTACTGCATAAAAGAAAAAATGGGAAAGCAATTTTAAAGGCAACTTACCATGCATTGACTGCAAGTCTCAACACATATAGAATTGGTTCAACAGTTAACTCACTTTATTGATATATTCATATTATAAATAAGACCTTTTAAAATAATAACTTTATCCTCTTCCATCAACAGGATGAAATCACATGTACTCAATATCGTAATTAGTTTTCATATATGCAAATTAGAAAAACCATAAATCACCAAAAAAAAAAGTTCTTAGCATTATCATATGCAAACACGGCAATGATAAAATTATTAATCAACAAACAAAACAAGGTCATATACGGAAACAGCTGGTTATGTTTCCCACAAGTCAGGAGGTGTGAAACATATGCATTCATAAATATGGCAGATTCAACAAGATTACAGTCGAAAATTTGTTTTCATGAACGTTGGTTCTATGGGGTAAAAAGTGAATCAAACGTTGATTTATACATTTTTAAAGCCAATTTGAAGGCAAAAGATGGGAAACTGATAAATCATATTTATTCTAGACTTTCTAGTCATGACGTACACTGCACTGTAAACAATAATGTAAAAACACATTAACTGAAAACATAATTCAATACAGACTAAATAAACTGCAATATGCCGTGGAATTTACATTGTGTGACTGAAACTGGTAGTAAAGTAATACACAGCAGTGAGCTGATTTTGTATGATTCATTTTTTTTTTAATTTGAAATTATCAAAATAAATTTGGCCCAGAATGGGGAAGACTTGATTGGTTACTCTGTGAATTAAAAAAAAAAAGGCAACTACTCTCTTTTGCCAAATAAATAGATTTTCAGTAGAAAGCGATTGTTTATTTTTTTTTTAGTTTATTATGAGCTCTGAGGTAATTGATAGCTTGTAATCATAATTTAACTGCAGATGTGAAAAATGACATCTAAGTTAGTTCTCATTACTTCATGGGAGGCAGCCTGTGAAATCAACAAGCTAATAGCAAATGTGCGTAACAACTATTTAAATAATGACAAATATAGTAAGATTGCCAAATACACAAAATATAT